AGGAAGTTCGATGTGTGAACTACAAGAAGCTGTACTGCAATCCCAGAGGTACACAGTTCAAATCCACCTGATGCTCTGCCAAAGAAGGAGGGGAAATTTCCCTCCTGTACCAGTCAGATCTGATTTGACGGTACACGCACAATAAATAAATTTTTTTTTAAAATGTGAACTCCTGAGTTTGCTGCAGATGCCCATTTAAACCTAGCCACAGATGTCTAGAAATGAGTTGACCACAAACAACCCAACCAGATGAAGAGAAAATACTTCATTCTGTGAGCTAGTGTCGATTACTATTACCAAATGATTTGTTTTATTTATAGATGTGGATGCTTAAAGCTACAACTGTAATAGAAGATTCTTCAAAGAAAAAGGTATACTTTTTTATTCAGCTTATGGGTTGAATAAGAATGAATAAATCAGAAATTGTCTACTATGGTTTTGGCTTAAATTTGGATTTTTTAGCCATTACTTTACCCTTCTCTGCTCTCCAGGAAACTTAACTATAGACACATGGTCTTTCAAATCATCAACAACTGTGGGACTAGGATGAGAGAGAGAGAGAGCGTGAACTTCCCACACTGAACAGAAAGACTTGAGGAGACTGAAGCAAGATCTTGTTGAGAGTGAAACTCTAGTGACAAGACCCTGGTGTTTGTGGTGGAGACACTGTGGAGTTGCTGTGGAGAAACTGTGGTAAGGTGTAACCAGAGAAGCCTTGAGATAGAGGTCACAGTTAAAAGTTTTTGCTGTTCTTGTTAATGACTGAAGGAAAAGCTGATTAACTGCTCTGAGGCAAACCTTGCTGGATGACTGAGGAAACCAGAGGCTTCTTGTGTTTGTGTTGCTGAACTGAAATCAGAACTTTTACTAAGAAATTGTGTTTTGTTTTCTTGATTTTTTTATTGGTTTGCTTACAAAGTTCATATATATTGTGTTTCACAATATTCTTCACTCAAATTGTGTTTCACACAATCATTCTCATGCATTATGTTTTACAAAATTAATCATCATTTGACCTTGTCCATCATTACCCTGTCTTTTGACCCAGATCCTTCCCATTTCCTTCCCCTCCTCCCTTCACCCACCAAATGGTCCAACCCTATGGATTTGCCCCTATGCATCTTCACCCCTTCAATACCACTGCTTCCCTTCTTGAGCTCCCGTACATGTTTTGCTAGTCATCCTTCTATTTTTTTACAGAAATTATCTATATAGTATTTATCCTATGAGATGGAGATAGTTCACTCAGCATAATGTTCTCCAGTCTCTCTTAAGTTATGTAGTATTTTTCAAAATTGTTGCTCCTGACAAACTGGAATCAAACATAGACAGCCTAGTCTATGGTAAAAAAGACTGCCCAAAGCAGCCAGAAATGCACAGTTTGGAGAGGATAAAATTGATGAATGCGACCGTCTAAAGATTAAATCCATGTGTACATGAAAAACATTTTCCAACAGGGTGAAAAGAAAACCACTGACTGAGAACAAACATTTAGCAATACCATCTCAGACAAGGCTGTCATAGCAAAAGTTTGAATCCTACAGGGCCTCCACAAGAAAAATACTGATAACACAATTAGAAAATTATCAAAAGACATAGACTTTTCACAGACAGAGGAAGATACTCAGTGGCCAACAGACATATGAAGAAATGCTAAAAATCAATGGCAACAAGAGAGATGCAAATCAAAACTACAATAAGATAACCATCTTATTCCACAAGCAGTTGCAAAGTTTAATAGGACAGCAAGTAATAAATGTTGGAGAGGATTTGGAGATATAGGAACTCTTGTACACTGTTTGTAGGATTGTAAAATGGTTTAGCCACTCTGGAAAGCAGTTTGGCATTTCCTCAAAAAGATGAACATAGAAAATCCCATATGACCCAGCTATTCCACTGCTTGGAATACACTTCAAGAAAATTAGAACTGAGGCACAAACGGAGATTTGTTCACCAATGTTCATAGCAGTGTTATACACCATAGCAACAACATGCAAACAATCCAAGTATGCAACCACAATCAAATGGATTGAGAAATTATGGCACAATCACAGGATAGAATACTATACATCACATAGGAGCAATGACTTTGAAAATCACTACCTAACTTGAGAGGGTCTGGAGGGCATCTAAGTGAACTAACTTAGTAACATAAGGAAAAATACTGTATAATACAATTATTGTAGAAATAGAAAGATAACAAGTAAAACTTGTATGAGGACCTAAAGGGGAAGAGTAAGATCAGAAATGTGAGGATGGGAAAGAGGGGTAATCATAGGATCGTACAATTTGATGAGTAGAGGAAAGGGAGGGTAAAGGAAATGGGAAATCTCTGGTGTGAAAAACAATGCTTATAAACTTCATAGATAAACCAGTTTAAAATAAAAATTTTATTTTAAAAATCCTTTTGAAAATGGCTTTTTTAGCTGTTGCCATAGTCCTCACTGGGGACATAGTCTCCAGCTGCTTCAGTTACAGACACATAGTTCACCATGGCCTGTACCAGACGCACCTTAGTCACCGAGAGAGATCATTGCTCTTCAGTACTTTGGAGAGGTCCCTAACAGCAGACTTTCCCATCATAATATGCCTTTTAATTTCCTGGCTACTGGTGCCAAGAGTGTTGACTGTGAAGCCAATCAAACTAAAGCTGTGAACAATCTCAATCTCTTCACCATCCATCCGGATGCGGCCAATTGGCCCAGTGGTGAAAATCTTTGTCTTCTTGACATTGAGCCTCAGTATTGGAGGCTGCAGTCTTTGACCCCCTGCAACAGGTGCTTCAGGTCCTCCTCTGTTTCAGCAAGCAGGGTTGTGTCATCTGCATAACACAGATTGTTGATAGATCTTCCACCAATCTTGACCCCACATTTCTCCTCATAGAGCCCAGCCTCCCAGATAATCTGTTCTGCATACAGATAGAAAAGGTATGGAGACAGGACACATCCCTGGTGTACACCCTTCCCAATTTTGAAACATGCAGTGTTTCCTTGCTCTGTTCTGACAACTGCCTCCTGGTCCAAGTATAAGTTTCTTATTAGAACAATCAAGTGTTCTTGGGATTCCCATTCTTCTCAGAGTCAGCCATAGTTTGTTATGATCTACACAGTCAAATGCCTTTGCATAGTCAATGAAACACAGATAGACATTCCTCTGGTATTCCCTGCTTTCAGCCAAGATCCATCTAACATCAGCTACAATATCTCTAGTACCACGACCCCTTCTAAACCCAGCCTGGACTTCTGTCAGTTCTCTGCTGATGTGCCGTTCCAGTCATTTTTGGATAATCTTCGGTAGAATCTTGCTTGCATGTGAAATCAGTGAGATTGTGCTGTAGTTTCCACAATCAAATAGTATACTTTAAATATGTGAAATTTACTATATATCATTCACAGCTTAATAAAGCACTTAAAAAATTTGAATGACATTAAAATTGTATTTCTCAATTACACTAGCCATTTAGGAAATCCTGAACAGTTCATATGAGGATAGTGCTACCATGTTACAAAATACATATATTTATGCTGGATGGATATCCTAACTTCAATGCATGCATACATTTTTAATATATATACTAGAAAGATGTTTACCTTTGTTTTATTGTCTATGAAAAGGTATTCAACTCTATGAATCATGAAAAATTGTGGATATGACATTGTAAAGAATAAGAGTTTTAGAACACTAAATGAACATATCGAATATATATAAATATATACCAAGATGTGATCTTTTGAACAGGGGGACACTACCTGGGTTAAAATCAGAAAAAAAAAGTCAAAAACCATGTTGTCTTCTTTCACCATACTTATTCAAACTATATACTAAGCAAACTACCTGAAAATTGGGGAAAAATATTAACTGTGCTATAGCATGTCAGAAGAACAAAGAGATCTGAAAGAAGATATATATATCTCACTCTTTTACTCATGCATTAACAGTGTTGTCAGGTCTCATCAGCAGGGAATGCTTCCAAAAGTTTCATCCTACCCTACTCTGACTACAGTCAATTTGTATGATATATTCAGATCTGAGTAATATAGACATGACCTTTTGTACTGTTGCTTTTATTGTGTGCCATTGAGTCAGAACTGACCCATAGCTGACCTTACAATGGGTTTTCAGAGGCATTTAATTGCAGGGAGGAGACTACCTATCCTTATTCTGCAAAGCAACTGGTGGATTCAAACTGTGTGCCTTCTTTTGTATTAAGATGTGAGATCTTTTGTTGGGGGTAGGAGATAAACAAATTGCAGTACTGACTCTATTAATCCACTGCATTGCCCAAATCAAACTTAAGCCATTGCCATAGAGTCTCTTCTGACTCATGTGTTTCAGAACAAAACCACTCTGTAGAGTTTTCATGGCTACAATCTTTGTGGAAACATATTGCGACCATGGCAGTGCCAGGTATTTTTTAACTATAAGTCTTTAGGCTAACGGTCATGCACAAACTGCACAAACTGCCACAAGTGACCTGTTAACATTACTCGCTCTAACTCAATAAAATAATAATGCAATAAAATCAGAATTGACTCATAACTGATACTTCAGTGACTAAATCACACAGGAAAAGACTGCCCATCTTTTCTCTCCTGGAACTGCTGGTGCATTTGAACCACCAGAGAGACACCACCTTTGGGTGAGTAGCACTGCTCTCTATGGATTATGCTACTCACAGAATTGAAATCATCATGTGCTTAGTACACTAGAAGCTTCTTTCTACAAATATTTTAGCCAGTGGTCATAAGTGTCATTGAGAGGCAGCTCCCCTGGACATGGAATTCAGTCAGCATGAAAGGAAGAGAGTGGGGTTCAAGGTTAGGCTCAAGGTATTTTCTTGTTCAAGCCTGTACAGTGAGCTGCTAGCATGAAGATTAGACCTAAGACTTGGAGTTGATTTGCTGCAGCAGCCAGCATTTCATTCCCTTATGCAGTGGTCAACTGAGTAGATGTTGCAACAAATCAAAAGGAGAACTAACACAAAGGAGCTCTGACGTCACCTTGAGTAGGTCCAGTTTCAGCTGCAGCTCCCCTTGTGTAGATGAGCACAAGGCACCCACAACAATGCTCATATATTCCTCTGCATTGATGACAGACAGCTGCTCCAGGATGGCCAGTGAAGGTCCACGGTAGTAGTCCTGGTCCAGAAAGATCTTTATAAAGGGCACCATACCATGGTCTTTCAAGACAACTGCAGAACAGAGAGTGTGGGTTGGAGACGCAGACCTAGTGCTTTCTCTTAATATTTTCAAAATATGTTTTACTACACTTTTTGTCTTCTAATCTTTAGTAAAATTTTTGAAGCTATGTTCACCACTAATATGAGAATTAGAAACTGGAGCTTAAATTTTAAAAGCAAAATAACTTTCTTTCCACTGAAAATTGTAGGGTTGGGGGGTTTTGTAGGGTTTTTTTTATATGTACTTTAGGTAAATGTTAATTTTATGTGCATCAAACACTTTTTCCCTTTTGTGGTTTTATTCTTGGCAGAGTGCATTATGTGTTGAGCTGCTAAAAGAAAGGTCAGGGGTTCAAATCCACTACCTGTTCCTTGGGAGAACAATGCGGCAGTCTCCTCTTGTAAATATTTATAACCAGATGAAAGATCAATGAGTCTGAATGGCCAGTGGGTTTGGATCTTGGTTCGGTTGATCAGAGATTTTCATTTTAATACAGTCAGATGTATCCACTTTTTAAAACATCATCTTTAAAAAATAGTTCCCTACTTTGATAAAGACATGTGCGATATTCTTTTCAGAATGTCATTGTTTAGACTTTTTTTCTTTTATGTTATTACTCATTTTAATGAACATTTACAAAGATTCTGGAAGTTTTAAACCACAAAAAAGTTAGTATTTCAAAGGAAGCTAAATAATACAAAGTTCTCATCAATATTTCTTTGCTTTGATTTCTCCTAATTCATAGTGTGAAAATTTTGTCTTTTCTCTGCTAAAATAGTTTTGGAAAGGAAGCCAAACTTTAAGTTAAGAACTCCTAGGTTTTTGAGGAGAGAAAATTAGAGATATCAGACTTGTAGTACATTTGGCTGAATGGATCCAACAGTTTCTTGTCAAGGATTGGTATTTAGAGTACTCAGAAGTGGAGTAATAAGTAAGAAGAAACTGGGTCCTTCAAGTGGCCAAGTATGAATTTGAATAGATGACTTAACTCCTTGAGGTAGGATTTCTCTAAGAATGGGCCAGGTAGAACCAACATGGAAATCACTTGGAAGTCTCTTTAGAAGCAGATTCCTGAACTCTTTCTTGTTATATTGCTATTTAAATCACTGGAAGTGAGACCTAGAAATAGGCATTTTAACCAGAACCTCCAGTGAATCCTTTGTTAAAGATCTTCTGACATAATGAAAGAGTAATTTTCTACCTTTATGGACAAAAACCTCTCAAATTACCAAGTTCACTAAAGTGATTTTGTTGATACTGTTTTGTTATTATAATATTTCATATGTAATATACATACATATATATATGTGTGTGTGTGTGTGTGTATGCTAAAGAATTTTTTTTTCAAAGATGTAGCTTCCAAGTGCATTATGGGCATTATGGGCATCAAAATTCTATTTTCTAGAAACTACTAATTTTCTTTGCCCATAACTTACTCCTGAGACTTTTTTTTAAGTACCCATAGGTGCAGCAGAATATTAAAACATATTTTTCTTGAAAAGGGGCACTTTGTGATGTCACCTATTTAGGAAATGGTATATAAAGTACAGTCTTTTCACCTCCAGTATTACCCAGCAGACTTAGAAGTGAAGAGTAAATCAAGGTGAATATACCAGAGTGCTGATGATCCCTGAACTTCCCCCAACAAGTAAATGATGCTGGTCAGAGTATTGGTTCATCCACAGATAAAGCTTCTGAATACTATATAAATACATAACCAGGGAATTGTTCATGTTTCCTCAAACAGTAACAACGCATATTTGGCACTATCCTTACCTGCATTCCGAATGGAACCTTCAAGAAGTGTGCTCACAGTCCTCAGCATCAAGCAAGTGAGTTCTTTTTCTGAGTCTTGAATGTCAAGGGTGGACTCTGTGTTTCCTGTCATATTTAAGTAACAACAAAAAATGAAAAAGGTAAGCCTTTATGAACTATAATATGTATGATGATTTGATTCAAATCCCTGACCTCCTTCTTGTTGTTGTTGTTGTTATGTGCCATCGAATCACTTGAGACTCATAGCGACCTATGTACAAGAGCCCTAAATGCTGTTCTATCCTGTGACAACCTCACCATCTCAAACACACTCATTCCCACCACTCCACTCACAGAATCAATCCATCTCATAGAGGGTCTTCTTCTGCACAGCCCATCCACTCGCCCAAATATGATGTCCCTCTCCAAGGACCAGTCCCTCCTTGCAACAAGTCCAAAGTATGTCAGACAAAGCTTCAGAATCCTTGACTCCAAGGAGCATTCCAGCTTCGCCCTCTCTAGGACAAACCTGTTTGTTCTCCTAGCAGTCCATGGTATATTCAACACTCTTCTCCAGCACCACAGCTCAAAGGCATCAATTCTCTTTCTATCATCCCTATTCACTGCAAAAGTCTCCAATGCATAGCACGTAATTGCAAAGACTATAACCCGGATCAGGCACACCTTAGTCTCCAGGCTGACGTTGATGCTCTTCAGTATTCTTAAGAGATCCCTCACAGCTGACTTTCCCAATGCAATTTGTCTCTTTATTTCCTGGCTGCTGCTACCAAGAGTGTTGACTGTGGAACCAAGTAAAATAAAAATGTTAACTATTTCAATCTCTTCACCATCCATACTGATGCTGCCAATAAGCACAATAGTGAGAATCTTTGTTTTCTTGATGTTGAGCTTCAATCCATATAGGAGGCTGCAGTCCTTGACCTTCTCTGCAGCAAACGCTTCAGGTCCTCCTCAGTTTCAGCAAGCAGGGTTGTGTCACCTGCATAACACAGGTTGTTGATGATTCTTCCACCAATCCTGATGCCACATTCCTCCTTGTACAGCCCAGCATCTTGGATGATCTGTTCTGCGTACAGATTGAAAATGTATGAAGACAAAATACATCCCTGATGGACCCTCTTCTTGATTTTGAACCATGTAGTGTCTTCTTGTTCTGTTCTGATGACTGCCTCTTGGTTCAAGTGTAGATTTCTTATAAGCACAATCAAATGTTCTGGGATTCCCATTCTTCTCAGAGTCAGCCATAGCTTGTTGTGATCCACATAGTAAAAAGCCTTTGCATAGTCAATGAAGCACAGATAGTTATTCTTCTGGTATTCTCTGCTTTCTGCCAAGATCCATCTAACTAACATTAGCTATAATATCCCTAGTACCATGACCTCTTCTAAATCCAGCCTGCACATCTGGTAGTTCTCTGTTGACATATTGTTCCAAACGGTTTTGGATAATTTTCAGCAGGATCTTGCTGGCATGTGATATTAATGATATTGTTCGATAATTTCCACACTCTGTTGGCTTACCTTTCTTTGGAATGGGAACAAATATAGATATTTTCCAGTCAGTGGGCCAGCTGGCTGTCCTCCAGATTTCTTGGCACAACTTAGTGAACGCATCCAGCGTGGTGTCTGTTTGTTGAAATAAATCAATTGGTATGCTATCAACTCCTGGAACCTTGTTTTTCGTCAATTCCTTCAGAGCAACTTGAACTTCCTCCTTCATCACCATAGGCTCTTACTCATATGTTATTTCATGAAATTCCTCTGTGTCATCCAATTCCTTCTGATGCAGTGACTCTGTGTACTCCTTCCATCTTCTTTTGATACTTTCTGGATCATTTAACATTCTACCTAAACTATCTTTAAGTACTGCCACCTGTGACTTGAATTTGTTTTTCAACTCCTCCAGCTTAAGAAACACTGAGCGACTTTGGCCCTTTTGATTTTCTGACTCCAGCTCTCTGCACATTTCATTATAGTATCTTGCTTTGTCATCCCAAGCTACCTTTTGAAATTTCCTGTTCAGCTCTTTGATTTCTTAGTGTCTTCCTTTAGCTTTGGCTTCTCAAGTCTCTAATGCAATACTCAGAGTCTCATCTGACATTCATCTTGGTCTTTTCTTCTTTTTCAACCTTTGTAATGATCTTTTGCATTTTATTTTTTTTAACTTTAAAATAGTTCCTTTATTTGTTACAAAGATGAAGAACAATATCTATGATAGCATAGTCTTACTTTTGGAGAATCACCATAATAAAAATACCACTTTCCTTTTGTTTTGTTTTTTTATCATTGTTTCTTTTTTAAATTTTATTAATTTTAATGAACATTTACAAAGATTTTGGATTTCCATTCATTCATTGTTGCACTATTTTCTCTACCTCCCCTCCAGCTCATTCCTCTCCTTTATTCCCCCCTTGAAAGTCTGTTTTAATTGTCCCATTGCCACAGTGCTTGCCAAAACCAGATCTTTTACATTCTTCATGGGCAGTTTTCTTGATATCCTCACAGAGCTCGTTTGGTCTACACTCATTGGTGTTCAAGGCCTCAAACACCTTTTTTTTTATGTTTTCCTAAGAAAACATGACTCTAATATTTTGTTTCCATTATTTGGAACTGTACATTCTAATTCACATGATATAACCTACTATCCCAAACAAGAGTGGTTCTCCAACATGAACACTTATTGCTAAAATGCACATTTCTTGGCTCTGTCTTTGGTATTTTGGCTCAGTTTTTCTGGAAAGATCTGAGAATGTGCATTTTTAACCAGCTTCCAGGGCATGGTGCTAGTCAGAGGACCATGCTTCCTTTACTGGAAACCTGAAATCCTGCTTCCTTGATTCTCACAACTGGGCTAAATGGCAGCATCATGATAGATGGTGAAGAGTTGGAGATTATTAACAGCTTTAGTTTGCTTGGCTCCACAATCAACACTCTTGGAACTCACAGCCAGGAAATTAAAAGATATATTTTGATGGGAAAGTCTGCTCTCAGAGACCTCTCTAAAGTACTGAAGAGCAAGGATTTCAATATGAAGGCTAAAATGTGCATGATCCAGGCCATAGTCTTTGCAGTTACTTGCTATGTATCAGAGAGCTGGACAATGACTAGGGACAATAGAAGGAGAGTTGCTGTCTTTGAGCTTTGGTGCTGGAGAAGAATATTTATTATACCATGGACTGAAAGGAGAGGAGAACAAACGGGTTCATCCTAGAGAGGGTGACACCAGGCTGCTCCTTGAAGGCAAGGATTATAAAGTTTCATCTGACATACTTTGGACATGTTGCAAGGTGGGATCAGTCCTTGGAGTGGGACACCATGCTTGTGGAGGGACAGCACAAAAGAGTAAGACCTTCAATGAGATGGATTAATTCAGTGACTGGAGTAATGGGTGTAGGTGTGTCAGAGACAGTAAGATTGGAACAGGATAAAGCAGGGTTTAAGACTGTTGTACATAAGATTGCTATGAGTTGCAGGTGACCCTATGGCACATAAAAACAACAACATTTTATAGTTTCTTATTCACACCTGGGGGGTGGGGTGACCTGGAAGCTCATGCTTGAGTCAAAGCAGATGTCTCCACTGGATCTACGTGGGCAGAGCCATGTTTCCTGTGCTCAACACTGAATTGCAATGCCAAAAAGTGACTGACATAAAAAAACTCTACATATATTTGAGTAATAAATCAGTGAATGAATGTGTAAAAGTAAACCTTACTAACTAGGAAACAAAATATGTAAGAAACAATAAAAATATTTAAGAATAGAAAGCATAAATTAAGTCTATAAACATCATTTCACCAAGAAGTATCATTTTTTTCTGATACTAGCCATAGGTTTGGTATTAGATTCTTACCAAGTCAATATTAGTCTATGATATGTACTGAATTATGTGCCTTAACATTTATATTGTGATTCTTGACATCTATGTCAGTGGTTTAAGAAAGTTAAAAGGGAAAAACTCACTCAGCAATTCTCAAGCTGAAGGAACTAAAGAACAAATTCAAGCCTTGAGTTGCAATATTGAAGGATGTTATGGGCAAAATCTTAAATGATCCAGGAAGCATTATTATAAGAAGATGGAAGGACTACACAGAGGCACTGTACCAAAACAACAACAACAACAAAATTGACTGACATGGAATCATTTAAGGAAGTAGCATATGATCAAGAATCAATGGTAATGAAAGAAGTTCAAGCTATAAAGTCATTGGCAAAAAAGCAATGCCTCAGGAAGTGGTGGTTTATCAATTGACATAATCAAACAAACAAATGTAGTCCTGGGAGTGCTCACCAATTTGTGTAAAGAAATCTGGAGGACAGCTTCCATATTTATCCCCATAGTCTAAAAAGTCTCTCTCTACTCTGGAAGTCAGCTAGCTAAACAACAACTCTAAAAAGATGATCTAAGAAAATGTGGAAATTGTCAAAAAAGATCACAATATCACATACAAGCAAAATCTTGCTGATGATTATTTTAAAATATCTGCATTAGTACATAGACAGAGAATTGACAGAAATTCAAACTTGACTTAGAGGAGGCTGTGGCACCAGAAATGTCGTTACTAATGTCAAGTATATCTTGGCTGACAGCACAGAGAGTACCAGAAGGATGCCTATATTTGTTTTATTGACTACGCAAAGGCACTTGAATGTGTGGATAATAACAAATTACAGCTAAAATTGGGAAGGATGAGTATCCCACAATACTTAATTGTGCTTGTGCAAAACCTAGAGCTAGACCAAGGAGGTGCTAACAGAGCAAAGGAACTGCAACAATGAATGAATGAATATCCAACTTTTTTGTAAACTTTAATTAAAATCACAGAACAAAACAGAAATTCAGAACACACCTTTCTCCATACTTATTCAATCTGCAAACTGAACAGATCATTTTAGAAACTGAACTTTATGAAGAGGAACATGACATCAGAATTTTGCAGATGACAAAATCTTCCTCACTGAAAGCGAAGAGGATTAGACACTTGCTGCAGAAGATTAAGAACTATAGCCTTTTTATAACAGTGGTATTATACAGTATTTGTCTTTTTGTGACTGAGATATTTCACTAAGCATAATGTCCTCCATGGCCACCTATTTTGTATATTTCATGAGTTCTTTGTTTTTTTTAGTGCTGCATAATATTCCATTGTGTGAATACACCACAGCTTCTCTATCCATTCATTTGTGATGGGCACTTGGGTTGTTTCTAACTCTTTGCTATTGTGAACAAAGCAGCAGTAAACATGGGTGTGCATATATCTGCTTGGATGACGGTTCTGTTTTATGTAGGGTATATTTTCAGTAGTGTAATTGCTGGGTCAAAAGGCATTTCTATTTCCAACTTTCATTACTGTCAGGGGGGTTGGAGGGAACTAAGAAAAGAGGGGATAAATAGTGTACATGGCATTGTCCATTTCAATGCTCATAAATAATGTACATGGCATTGAAATGGACAAGGGAGAGAACTGTATAAAAGGAATATATGATCAGGTATTATTGGTGTGACAAGAGTCCAGAATAAGAGATGAATAGTAAATTGGCCTGGAGGTGGGGGATTGTATAACAATGAAAGAACTTTTTTTATAAAGAAAAAATAAACTGGGGGGAGGGGGCAGGGAGGAAAATGCACAACAATGAATGAATGAAAATCCAAGTTCTTTATAAACTTACAATAAAATTTCAAATTAAAAAAAAAAGAAAGGGAGGGGGAAAGAACTACAGCCTTCAATATGGATTATATCTCAACATCAGAAAAACAAAATTCCTCACCATCTGGCCAACAGATAACATACTGATAGATGGAGAAAAGATTGAAGTTGTCAATGATTGTGTTAATCCACAATTAACATCTTTGGTACCAGCAATCAAGAAATCAAAAGATGTGTTAATCTAGGAAAATCTTCTGTTGAGGATAACTCCATAATGATAAAGAGCAATAATGCAGGTTTAAAGACTAAGATGTGTCTGAACCAATCCATGGTCTTTCCAATAACTTTCTATGTCTCTGAAAGTTGACAATGGCTAAGGATGTCAGAAGAAGAATAAACGTCTTTGAGTTGGGATATTGGAGAAGAATATTGATTATACATGGACTGCTAAGAGAACAGATAGTTCTATCATTGAGAAATGAAACCAGGATATGCTTGGAGGCAAAGAGGGTGAAACTCCATCTCACATACTTTGAGCATGTTGTAAGAAGGGGCCAGCCCTTGGAGAACATCATACTCAGAAAGGTGGAATTTCACTGTAAAAGAAAAAGACCAATGACAAGATGGACTGACACAGTGACTGTAACAGTGAGTTCAAATGTGTTGGAGGTGGTGAGAATGTAACAGAAGAGGGCAAGGTTCAGAGTCATCGTTCATGCATACTCGACAGAGGGAAACCACAAGAAACCAAGAAAATCATCACTTTTCTCTTTCGTGTTTGAAATTCAGTGGATAGGAAGGTTTCCAAACTTCACATGAAATTTCTAGTGTGGCATTAACGTACTTGCCTGATAGCAAAGTTCAGAGATTCAAGTCTACCTAGAGTCACTATGGAAAGACCTTGCAACCTACTTCTCACACAATAGTCCTTGTAAACTTTCTTGAGCACGGTTCTCATCTGACATACATCAGGTTACCATGAATTGGAGTTAATGTGGAGACAGCTTGTTATTGGGACCATAAGAGTTACAGAGCCCAAGCTAGCACTGTTGCCTGGTTAAGAAAGGCCCTGAACCCCTGCAGAAAGGACTGAGGTCTCTAAAGCTGAGAGGCAAGGATTAAGCTGAGAAACAGGGCAAAGGTAAGGGTGAGGAGGTATTGCCAAGGAGCCACAGAATACAGCCCAGGAGGCACACAGTGTCTGGCCAAGATGCAATCCTGGTAAGCCCAGACTGCAGGGAAGACCATGAGGCTCTAACTGTATCAAGTGAACAAGGAAGCTGCACTCTGACAAACTTTGCCAAGCCTCAGAAAGCCCCAGGCCCTCCCAGCTCACTTCCCTTTCTGTCATTGAGGCCCTTCAGGCTTCTCTGCTACTCCATATCTATATATCCAGTTGATATCCTGGGCTGGAGATGTCACTGTCCAAGAAGCCCGTTTCAAGTAGCACATACTTAACTTACTTTGAGATGAAATACATTAGGTTATAAAACATAAGACAGCCCCTTGCTCTCTACCACTCAGGAGTAGCTCTGAAAAGCTCATGTACCCTCTGCAGGATAACTTCTTTAGCCCTTTCAGTACCCAATCCATGAATAGTCATTATCTCTTCTATGCTAACATTTTCAGGGGGTATGGAGACCCAGAGCTGACCTACACTAACCCCCTCGCTTCTGTCCCAACTCCCTCCTGACACCGCTCACCTGATTTCCTCATGATCTTGGCTCGCTTCCGCAGCTGGGCTAGTAGCAGGCCCAGGAGTCCTGAGTCCCGGAAGATGTCAGTGAAGAATGGGTCCCCCCCTGCAATCCGGTGGATACTATGCAGGGCCACAAGGCTGCAGGATGGGTCTAGGCTCTCTTTGACCAAAGTCTGAACCTTCTGTAGGATTTCATGGGGAACATAATATAGCTCAAACACCAGCATCTCCAGCAGCTGGAAGAACTGTGTCTGCACCGGGGCTGGCTTCAAATGTAAGAGCTCTACAAACCGTGAGATGGGTTGGAGGGTCCACTCCAGAAGGAAGAAGTTGCGTGTGTTCCACACCCACATAGTTCTGATTGCTGACAAGATCCGTGAGCAGAGAAGAGGGTTACTGGTTTTGTGGAAGACATTCTGCAGGACTTGAAAAGCTTGAAGATTCTTAATAGTTGCCCCTGAGAGCAAAAAAAAAAAAAAAATAATCACGTTGTTGGTCATTTTTCCAACCTATGTATAGAAACTAAGAAATTACATTAGAAATGTCTATTGGTTGAGTGGTAAAGAGTTGTACTTCCAGCCTGAAGGCAAGAAGATCAAATTCACCAGCAGCCCTGTTGAAGAAAGATGAGCTATCTCTTGTGCAATTTACAGTCTCTGAAAACTGCTGAAGAGTCATCTATGGTTGGTTCCAACTAGGCAGACCATAAAAACAACAACACACCACGCCTAGAGATAACTGTCAACACTCAGGATATAAACAAGGCTAAAGCTACACTATCTGATGAAACAGTTGAGATATAACTGATGTGAATTAAGATATTAAGATGTGCTGTAGAGGGCTGCACTCCAATCCTAGTACCACATTCTTCTTCTTAAAATTCAGCCTCCAAATTATCTGTTCAGCATAAAAATTGAAAAGATATGGAAACACATCATAAGAATTGGAGGAAGATTCATCAAAAACCTGCATTGTGCAGATGACACAACCTTGCTCACAGAAACTGAGAAAAACTTGAAGCATTTACTGAAGAAGATCAAGGACTGCAGCCTTCAATATGGATTGCATCTCAATAGCAAGAAACCAAAGATCCTCACCACCGGGCCAAGAAGCAGCATCATGATGGAGAAATGATTCAGGTTATTAATGATTTTATTTTGCTTGGATCCACAATAAATACTTGTGGCACCAGCAGTCAGGAAATCAAAAGATAGATTGCACTGGTAAAATTTACTGTCAAGGACCTCTCTAGAGTACTAAAGAACAATGTCAGTCTAGAGAATAAAGTGCACCTGATCCAGACCATAATCATCTCAGTTGCTTGTCATGAATCTGATGTACAATGAATAAGGATGACAGAAGAACTGATGCCTTTGAGTTGTGGTGCTAGAGAAGAGTATTAGACATACCATATCATGGACTGCCTAGAGAACACACAGATCTGTCCCTGAAGAGATTGGAACCCAGTTACTCCTTAAAGGCAGGGATTTTGAAACAATGTTTTACATACTTTGCGCATGTTACCAGGAGGGACTAGTCCTTGGAGAAGAATGTCATGCTTGAAATGGTAGAAGGCCAATGCAAGAGAGGAAGATCCTGGATAAACTGGATTGACACAGTGGCTGTGGAAATGAGGTCAGGTGTGTAAAAAAATGGTGAGGTTGGCTCAGATAGAGCAAGGTTCAGAGGCATTGTTCCTTGTCACTATGAATCATAGTTAGCTTGATGACACATACCAACGATTACAACAACATGGATAGCTCTACAGATATGGTCAAACTGATTCCTAGGTAAATCCATGTTTATGGTTTTGTTTTGTTTTGTTTTCAAAAACAAAGGCGTGCCTTTTAAGGTGTTGAAAAAATCATTTGCAATGAATTCATTGGACAAAATTCTATCATTGTATCCCCAGCCTAATTTCTGTCAACAAGTCCAATTTTTTAATTACCAATTCTTTTCCTTTGTTTCCAACCTTTGTATTCCAGTCACCAGTTATTACTAATATGTTTTAATTTTATGTTCAATAAGCTTCAAGCTGCACAAATTGGTAGAAATCCTCAATTTCTTCATCTTTGACTGTAGTGTTTGTTGTGCATACTTAGAGGTTTCTGTTGTCATTTCTACAACTGAGTCAACTCTTATTTGTTGTACACATGTATACACAACACATCTGAACTTGAACTGGTCTGCACCATCCTCACAATCTCTGATATGCTCCAACCCACAGTTACAATCACTCTGCCAATCCATCACTTTAAGGGTCTTATTCTCCTAAAGCTTTTTCCAAGGATTGGTCCCTCCTGAAAACATACTCAAAGTATATGAGATGAAGTTTCACTCTCCTTGCCTGTAAGGAACACCATGGTTACACTTCCTTCAGCAGAGATATGTTTGTTCTTTTAGAAGCCAATGGGATGGATATGCACTAATCTCCAACACCAAACTTAAGTCTTCAATTCTTCGGTCATCCTTACTCATTATCTAACTTTCAGATACATAAGAAGAAATTGAAATACTATGGCTTGGACCAGGCACCCTTTAGTCTTAAAACTGACATCTTTGATATTTAGCACTTTAGAAAGGCCCTTGGCAGCATATTTTTACTAATGCAATACTTCTTTTGATATCTTTGCTGCTATTACCATCAGTACTGATTGTGGATCCATGTAAAGCGAAAGTGTTGCCAGCTTCAAGCTTTTCTCCATCTATCATGATGTTGCCTATTAGTCCAACAGCAAGGATTTTTGTTTTCTTGATGCTGAGATGTAATCCATATTAAAGGCTGTGATGTTTGATCTTCTGCAGCAAGTGTTTCAAGTTTTAACTTTTGCAACTAAGAGTGTGTCATCTATACAAGGCAGGTTGTTGATGAGCCTTTCTCTAATCCTGATTTCACATTATCCTTCATATAGTCCAGCTTCTCAAGTTATTTATTCAGAATACACACTAAACAGGTATGGAGAAAGGATACAACCTTGATGTACATCTGCCCTAATTTTAAAACATGCAGTGTTCCCTTGTTCTGTAAAGATAACCACTTCTTTGTCTATGTATATTTCATATAGTTACATATAGCTTCAAATTGTTTACATATGGTTTCATATGGTTACAATTAAGTGTTCTGGGATTCCTATTCTTCTCAATATTATCCATAATTTGTTATGATCTACATAGTCAAATCCATTTGAATAGTCAGTCAAATGCAAGAAAACACCTTTCTGATTGTCAGTGCTTTCATCAAGATCCATCAGACATCAGCAATGATATGTGCCCTTGTGCCATGGCCAATTCTGAATCCCATTTGAATTTCTGGCAATTTCCCATTGATGTATTGTTTATTGAAAAGCAAAAGTTGGAAACAGAGAAGAAGGACTGGAAGTTGGGGAAAATGGGCTTGATGACAGAAATCAGGCTAGAGATTTAATGCCAGAATTTTTGTACAATCAGTTATTTCTTCATTGCAAATACCTTTTCAAAAACAAGTAGGAACTATGTACATGGACCTCACATGATGGACTACACAAGAATTGGTTTCACTATATGTGTGGAAATAATTGCTTAATGTCAGCAGTGAAAAAAGATCACAGGCTGGCTGTGAAGTTGTCTATAGGAATATAAAAATATATGTGGATATATTTAATATATCCATTGAAGACACAGATTTGAGTACTTCAGATATAAGTGAGCAGCCTCCAACTGTTTTTCCAGGTCTGACAGCTCGAGACCATAATCTTGTGGGACAATTCAGTCAACTGGCATAAGTATTTCACAAAAAATAATTATCTGCATTCTGCCCAGCAGAGTGTTTTTGTCTGAGGTCTTTCGAAGCCTGTGAGCACCATTATAAGTCACAAATATTAGTCTCAAGAGGAGTAAAATAGTAAGAAGGTCACCAGAAACTCAGAGAAGATATAAACCTAGCTGAGCACAACCTAACCTATCCTGAGGATAGAAGGATTAATTGTGTCTGGCTATACTGCTGATCATTCTTACTGGGGACACAACAGGAGATTCCACAAAGAACTCTATCTATTTATATTACTATGTATCACTCACTCACTCATTGCTTGTAAACAGAAACAAACTCATAGCTGACCCTCTAGTGAGTTTTCAAAAGCTTTAAATTGCATAGAAGATGCTGGTAGATTTCAACTACTGGAAGGGTGCTGTCTTTGGGTTAGCAGTGCAGCTCCGTCAGAAATAAACCACCAGAGCTCCCATGTATATAATCACCCTTTAGAAAAATAGCAGAGGGGCACCACAAAAGAAAGGATATTGCCCCTAATATAGGTGATTTGATTAAAAATTGTAGTATGAGATCAAAAGGTTAACAATTACTTGCAAGCAAAGATGAGAAGATAAGGGGACAGTGAAACACAATACTATAAATATAATGAGCAGAATACAATTAAAGACAATATTGACACACTGTGATGAATGTTACTAATGCAACTAACTGATAAGTGTGGAAATTGTCAAATGGGAACGTATTCTATGTATAAATTTACACTAAGGCTTAAATAAAACATTATTTTAAAAACATGCATCTGGGGCTCAAACTTTATTTTCATTAGGTAGCTCTGGACTAGAGGATTTTTTTCTCTCTCTCTCAATTAAAATCAAGGAATGTTTAAAAATTTCTAAGCAAATTCAGTTTCATATCTGGAAAACTGTATAAACAAAAATATTTTCTCTGTGAAGTTTCTTAAGGAACCCAAGTAGAGTGTGCCCTTCCCTCTCAAAATTATTACTCTGATATTTTTATTGACGTGTGTGTGCTGTGTGTTCAGTGTATGTTTGACAGTCTCTATAGAAAGTTATTGACAACAGACAACTGGTTAGTCCACGTCAGCATCTGACACTCAAGTGGTTGGTGCATGGGAAGTATCAATATATGTCAATTGAGTTTTTCAGTCAGTAAGTAGCTGTCAAGGACCTCTCCAAAGTGCTAAAGAGAGGGAGTGTAAAATGGTGCAACCCCTGTGGAAAGGGTATGGCGCTTTCTCAAAAAGTTGCAAATAGAGATACCATTTGACTTCGCAATACCACTACTGGGAATATACACAGAAGAGACCATAACTGACACCCAAGCAGATATATGCACACCCATGTTTATTGCAGCTTTGTTCACAATAGCAAGGAGT